AAAGTATATTAAGACAAATGATGTTGGTAACACAATTTATTTCTAACACTCATAGGTACTTATTGTTATTCACTTTAATATATATAGGTCACCCTACATACATAAAGATGATATCTTGCATACTGAAATAAGTAAATAAAAAGCTAAAACATCAAGTCTGTGGTCTTTAAAATGGACCAAAGATAAAGAAACTAGATTTTAAAAAAAGTTTGTTTGTCATTCATTGATCAATCTAAATTTAAAAGTCATCTCCATTGAAACCTTCATTGAGGAAAACATCATCCCATTCCCATGCATCATTCTCATGTGTTGTTTCAGCAAAGTATTCATTGTTTCCCATGGTATTCTCCTGATCATTGTGACAAAATATTTAAAGTGAGTTTTGTGTGAATAATATCACAAATATAAATTTATAAACAAACAAATAAAGTTAATTAATCAATAATAATATTAATAATAGAGCTTTGAACTAACTTCTATGGGATAGTTAAATCCATTAACATTAGAAGCTATTGCATTACTTTGAATTGAAGATTGATCAGTTTGTTGAATAATATGATTGATGTCGTTGTTATTGTTCAAGTTGATATTCCAATTTGAATGGGCATACTCCAACCCTAATTGGGAGGGAGTGTTCAATTGTGTACCCGTATTTGCGAGTGGACTCGAGCCATGCCTGAGAGAAACAATGTTAAAGAACAACAATACCAACAAAAATAATAAAATGTATTTCGTTGACTTATTGTATATGATATTATTACTATTTATGTGGTCTCTTATATGATAATAATTTGATCTCGTATAGAGTTTAGATGCATTGATCGTTATAATTCTAATGTCATCATATTTTTTAAGCAGATAAAATATTATCTTGCGAACAATAATTAAATGTATGAATATCGAAAGAAACCTTGTGGAAGTGCAAATATTGTGCCAGAAATTCGTGAGAGAGTTGTCACTACTTTCACCAAAAGTCAATTGTGCCTGCAAAATATGAGTTAACTAGTTTAGTACAAGGGTGGGGAGGGAGGGGATAGGATTTTTTAGGAATAATATCTCAAGAATATTAATGTATCTGTGACTGTCCAAATGTTTGTGTTGAATTCTGCTGGACATCTACTACCATGTTTTGTTGTTGGTTCTATTGTGCAGATAAGAATAATTATATCAAAAATTTTGCAGATAAAAATAATAATATCAAAATTTTAAAAAAAAATCTCATCTCTTTAAGGAGATCTTAACAAAGAATTATATTTCAAAAATATTAACTTACCTGTAATTGTCCAAATGCTTGTGTTGGATTCTGATGGACATCCACTATCATGTTTTGTTGTTGGCTCTATTACGCGGATAAAAATAATTATATCAACATTCAAAAAAATATTTATCTTCTTAAGGAGATCTTAACAAAAAATTATATTTCAAGAATATTAATTTACTTGTGATTGTCCAAATGTTTGTGTTGGATTCTTCTGAATACCTACCATCATGTTTTGTTGTTGGCTCTATTAAGCGGATAAAAATAATTATATCAACATTCAAAAAAAAATTTATCTTCTTAAAGAGATCTTAACAAAAAATTATATTTCAAGAATATTAATTTACTTGTGATTGTCCAAATGTTTGTGTTGGATTCTTCTGAATACCTACCATCATGTTTTGTTGTTGGCTCTATTTCACATATAAAAAAAAAAAAAAATCAAAAAAAAAAAAAAATCATCTCTTTAAGGAGATCTTAACAAGGAATAATATTTCAGGAATATCATGTACCTGTGCTTGTCCCAATATTTGTGTTGGCTTTTGCTGGACATCTACTTCCATGTTTTGTTGTTGGCTCTATTGTGAGGATAAAAAATAATTATATAAAATTCAAAAAAAATATAGTCTATTTAAGGAAATCTTAACAATCAAGAATATTAATGTACTTGTAATTGTCCAAATGTTTGTGTTGGATTCTTCTGAATACCTACCATCATGTTTTGTTGTTGGCTCTATTTCACATATAAAAAAAAAAAAAAAGCGATGAGTTTTGAGGAAATGACATATTTCCTAACTGTGAAGTACTAGCAAAGGAAGGGGTATATGTGTAATTGCTAGAACTGTTTGCTACTCTCTTTCCTTTGTCCATCCAATCTTGATTTTGAACAGTTGAACTGCAATAATAACGAAATAATGAAACCAAAAGGAGAAAGGAGACGAAAATTTTCAATTATGTGAAAAAAATTAATGACCTGAATGGACTAATCCAATTATTAGTATCAAACTGGTGAGGAGCCATTTGTTGTGCAGCAGAGAGAACATCCATATTTCCTTGTTTTTCCAATTCCATCTAATCAAAATTCATTTGACATTAGTTGGGATTTTACATTATTTCTAAGAAAAATAAGTATTTTCTTGAAAATTGTAATTTCGCGTTATTCTTCAATGACAAATCAAGGTGGAAGAACAAACTTTTCTAGCCAAGATTTTTTGGAGAGAGAGTTTCAAGTTACTCTCACACCAACAGAGTTGGTGAAGAGAAGGCTCTTGTTTTGCTCCTGGTTCGTAATCCCTGCATAATCATCTTGTTAGGCAGAATATTACATTTAGACAATTGAAATACTCTATAATATAAATGTCTAAGTGAAAGATCAAGGTGATGTCAATGTATTAAACCATGATTATAATTAAGAAGAACTATAAGAAAAACACTTGTGATACTAAATCAAATGACCTTATGTTAGCATCCACAATCTGTAATTCCAATGTGCTCTTCTTGATTTGTAGCTCCAAATTCTACATCAAAAAATTTCAAGTTAAGATGACTTTATCAACCTTCTTCATTGGTTCTAGAATGATTTATTAACATTTATTTGGACTAGTCTTAATTTCTACTTCAAGTCACACTTAATTAACACACTACTAATTAGAATAGCAAGGGTAGATTGAAAAGAGAGAAAACAACTCATAATAGATTCATAAAATTAAGTTGTGCTCACCTCAATCCTGTAGAAATTAAGACACCGGCAACAGGTTGAAACATCCAAAGGCAGCCATCATGATAAAGTTTAATTCATTAGTGAGAGAGTCATGAATTTCACTTAATACAAAAGAAATCAAGTATGAGGTACTAGGTAGTATCTAACATTTTCAATAAATCAAAATATTGTAACGCTTATGTAACTCGACATATTTGAGCGAGCTCATATTATCAGTCTCAAGTCTGAATAATACAGCAAGGTTGTTGATGTCTGATGGTCATTCAGAAACAACTTCTCCATCCCATAAAGATAGAAATAAGGTTGTGTATATCTTACTCTCCTTAGACCCTACTAATGAGATTATATCGAGCTTGTTGTTGTTGGTGGTGATTGTGTCAACTTACACATATGCTTGTCTATATTTTTCCCTGGTCAAAACAATTTTTTTTAATCATGCTTTGGCCGAATTTTTTATCTCTTTGGTCCGATATGGAGAGTATTAATATTAGTAACAACAATAATATGATAATTCAAGTTTATAAGTTAGTCAAATTAACTTATCTGCATATTCTGTATTAAATTGTCACCCCTATCAATTTATAGATTTTCATTTTATTAGCACATTTAATTTAATTGAAGATTTTATTCATTTATCCGTAATATCTTTTCTAATTTTCAAAATATTCTTTTAAAATAAAGCTCCTAATTCTCTTTTCATTCCATTTGGTCGATCGTTAATCTTCTTATACACATATTTTTTTTAAATTTACATTTGTTGTAAATAATATCGAAACACAATATAACTAAAGAGAGACAATAAAGTAACCAAAGGAAAAAGTGAGAAAAGAGGAGATCCAAACTGTTTATCAAGAAGGTGTAGCTTGCTAACATCTCCTTTGATGTGATTCAATTGTCTCAATTTTGCCACCTTCTCCTTCATTAATATACCCAAAAAAAATTATCAAAACTAGTTTAAAATGGGTCAAATCGATATCAATAATTAAAAAAATTTATTACAACTCTCTCAATTATACACTTTTTTACTTAAGTCAAACTTGTTTTGTTGAATGAATTAAAACAAGTTAAAAATCACTTAGTATTTCGTTAATTTTGAGGATGTCATTTTCAGAACCTTTTAATTAATACACATTCAATTTTAATTTGTTTGTCTGATTTCATCTTGATACAATTTAATAAATTAATAACACTTTTGTATCTTACGATCTTAAACTAAAGAGAGGTCGAATGTGTCAAAATATCCTTTAATTTTGTGGTTATAAACATGTGTGTGGGGAAAGTTGAGATTAAAAAATTTATCAAAGACGAAAAAAAGTTCTGATGAAAGATCGTTAAATGTCCCACATCGATGAATAACTAAAATTTTGGTCTCGTTAAAAAATGTTAGACAATCCCCCCGGGTCCATGAATGTCACACTCCGGATTGGACAGTGAAATTTTGAATAAAGAATATCCAAATCTGGGCTTGAGGGGGTGATACCATGGAATCTCAGATAAAAATGTCTAGGTCTGGGTGTGAGGGGGTGATACCATGGAATCTCAGATAAAAATATCTAGGTCTGGGTGTGAGGGGGTGATATAGTGAAATCCTGGATAAAGAATATTCGGATCTGGTGTAAAGGGGTGATGAAGGAATGAAGTGTCCCACATCGGTGAATAAATAAATTTTTGGGATCCTTATAAAGTTTAAACAATCTTCCTCTTTCTGAGGTGCGGGTTACACTCAAGACCTAACTTGACACATTCTTTTTAAAACAAAAAACAAAAAACAAAAAACAAATTGAAATGGATAATAACGAGTACTAATTTTCGTTTCAAACTTTAGCAAATTTCATCATCATATAAAGATTAGACGAATTAATCCACATTAATAGAAACAAGACATAATTTTAGAAAATATAAGTCCTACAAATACTTATTGATAATATATACATAAAAGAGTAAAAAGTACCTTAACATCGGCCATGTGACTAACCCCAACAAAAGAAGAAAAAAAAAACTCATAAGTTAGTGCTACATTATATAGGTTACTAATAGCTTAAAAAAAATCAAGAAAATTTAGGAAATGTTCATGTACGTCAATCTCCGCTCAACCGGAAGGTTAAGGTAACGCTGAAGCATGTCTTCAACTCTACAAAAGTGTAAATTTAGTATAAAAAAAAAGTTAATCAAGATAATAGTTTTATAGATTAATAACTAGCACGACATAACGGAAAATTCATATTTTTTTGGTCGGAATCATAAATACAATACCTTTGTTGGCTACAGAATTTATTGAGCCGACCAGAAGGTGAGAATGCGACAAACAACATGTCCACGTCACAGCAAATTGCAATCTCCTCAGCTTTTTTAAGTAAACTACTGCGTCGTTTAGAAAATGTAACTTGACGTTTCGTCGTCTCTTCTATTTTCTTTATCTCAATTTTTCTACCCATCTTTAAAAGGAGTCTCTTCTCTGCCTTATACGGAACAGTAGCTTAGAGTGTTGTGTAAGTGTATGAACAATACAATGACTGAAAGAGAAGGCTCCAAAGTAGCTAATTTATAAGGTCAAAAAAGCTATTTTGGGTAAATATGAAATAAATAAAAAGTTGGTCAACCTCATCCAAACATGGTCGTGTGACTGTGTTATTAAATGTTGACATTTGGACAATATTAGTTAAGTGTTGTGTTTTGCACGTGTATTGTATTAATTAATTAATTAATAATAATAATAATAATATAGTAGCTAATTTATAAGTTCAAAAAAGCTATTTGGGTCAAATGTGAATAATAAAAGTTGGTCAACCTCATCCAAACATGGTCGTGTGGCTATGTTATTGAATGCTAACATTTGGACAATATTAGGTAAGTGTATGTGTTTTGCACGTGTATTGCATTAATTAATAATAATAATAATAGTAGTAGTAGTAGCTAATTTATAAGGTCAAAAAAGTTATTTGGATCAAATATGAAATAAATAAAAAGTTGGTCAATCTCATCCAAACATGGTCATATGCCTATGTTATTAAATGCTAAATTATCATAACCAATTTGACATTTGGACAATATGAGTTAAGTGTATGCGTTTTGCGCGTGTATTGCATTATTATTATTATTAATAATAATAATAATAATAATAAATAATGAAGAATTTGAAAGATAAAAAATATACTTCAAAGGGACATTATAACTCACAAATACATTAATAATTAATAAAATAAAAAGCTATTTGGGTCAATTATGGAATAAACAAATAGTTGGTCGACATCATCCAAACATGACCGTGTGACTATGTTATTAAATGCTATATTATCATAATGAATTTATATTTGGACAATTAGTTAAGTATATGTGTTTTTCATGTGTATTTATAATAATAATAATAATAATAATAATAATAATATATATATATATATATAAAACAAACAATTAGTATAATATTCTTTAAAAATTAATGAAGAATTTGAAAGATAAAAAATGTACTTAAAAATGGAACATTATAACTCTCAATCACACTAATAATTAATGAACAAAATTTTGTCTTCGATATTAAAAGTCCAAATTATGTTGGTATTGATACACGAATACACAGTCTAAATAATAAGGTAAAGGAAAGACAAACAACATTATAAATGAGCATAATCATATAACGCAATTACTTGTAAAAGTTAACAATAACAAAAAGGATTATGGTAAAACAGAAGATGACAACCTAAAGTTACACTGGAAGAAAACTGAAAGTGATCTACAAAGAGGTTGTATTCATTGTGTTTGCGATTGTGTGATGTTTTCGATTCTCGATTGGCTTGGGTACCACTTCTGGTACAAATTATCGATTGACACGGGTACTGCGCCTAGTACGAAATATCTATTAGTTGGTTCGAGTACCACGTCTGGTACAGGTTCTCTATTGACTAGTTTGGATACCACGTATGGTACAGGTTATTTATTGGTTGGTTCAGGTACCACGCCTGGTACATGTTAATTGTTTGTCTTTGTGGTGGAGAGTGAATCGAGCTATTTGATTGTAATGATGTTGAACATATTTTTTGTGGTTGCTAAGACTGATTGGATTATATATGTATGTCTTCTTGTTTAACTAAGTTTCAGTTACTTGTTCGCACTTCATATATTTGGAGCTAGCTGATGATATCAATACACCGTTAATTTTGTGTACTGATACTACATTTTCTATTGTTTTGTTGAGTACAAAACATATTTCAGCGGCTACTACGCTATCTCAGTTGTGAGTCTCACACTTTCTGAATTTAAGGTTGAATTGTTTTATTTGGGCTGCCATGATTTCATCTCTATCCCTCTAGTCCATTGTCCGGATTTAGATTTCATTTTTGGGGGTTGCATCCCCGTATTCTAGACTATGTTAGATGTTTAGGTACACGATTTTAGATTCTAGGAAAATTATTTTTGCATATTTACTGTTAATTGTTATGACGGTTTGCTTTAATTAATGAGATTGTTACCTTTAAATGATTTAGTTGAGTTCATATTGGATTGACGATTGGAACTTCTATGGGGGGTTTAGTGAGGTTGTCTCTTAGGGCGATTTAGATTGAGACATCACAAAACGCTCTTTATAAATTTTTAAGCTATAAAAAACTCCACAACGGAGTTTAAATTTTTCACGTTAATTGACCTATCAATGTTTGAATTTGTGATGATAAATACGGATATCACTATCAATTAGTTTTTAAGCATCAAAAGATGAAAGTCATAATTTCAAATTAAGAAGAACAAAAAAATCCAAATATATGCAAAATGAGCTGAATAAAGTAAAATCTGAAAATATGTGCTAAATAGATCAAAATCATTTCGAACTTAACAAGTTTTATTTAATGCACACAAACCCTATATGTTACTCTAGTTACCCCCTTCAACATTGTAATTTGAAAGCCTCGACTCTTCTAGATGCTAATGTGACAAAGAATGTGAATTGGCTCACTTTTAGGTACGAATGAAAAATTGACTTTTAAGTATAATATTTTTCAACTATTAATTGCCACATAATTAATATAATAATTTATTTATTCCAATTATATTACTCTTTGTTTTTTAATATACATTGTGCATTTTATCACAATTTTACATAAGGAAAAATTACTTGAATGGGTACCTTTTAATAAATAATTACTGATTTTAGCGATATTTTATATTAATTATTATTATAGCAATATATAACAATATTATGATAAATCTGCAATATGTATTAAAAGTGAATTATGTATGCAATATATATGAATTATAATTGTTTTAAAATATATTACGCTTGTTTGGTAAGAAATTGACACATTGTATTATTAGTGTATTAAAATGTATGATAAATATACTATCAACCAATAAAACTTGTATTATATATGTTTTATAAATTGTTCTATGTAATATGTATTAAAATTGTATTATAAATATATTAAAAGTGATCAAATAAAAAAAAATGTTATTGCTATAAATGATAGATGTTTCTTAGTATAGCATATTTATGTAAGTTTGCCTTTACATAACTTAGTTATAACTCTATTTATATTATCCAAATAAAAAAATGATTTGACTAAAGTAATGAAGTCAAAACGGTGTAATTTTTATATATAAAAAAAAAGAAAAATATATGTATTTATTATTTTGCAGTAAGTATTTATTTTAAGTTTTTAACTATGCATTATTATTATTTTCGGGTCAAATTAATTGAAATTTTATTTTATTTTTCTATATAATTTTGCATTAGATGCTTGATTATTATTTTTTAATAGAAAGGGTGTATTTCTTCTTTCCTGGACAAATATGTAAAACGAACTTGATTATATATAATTATTTTTAGAAAAAATAAAAAAATTATCATTAAACTGTTTATTCTAATTTATTTTTTCATATTTGGCCAGAAAAGGATAATTTAAATAATTGGTGAGACCTAAAAAAGTTTTTAAAAAATTATTCTAAAAAATGTCACATGGACAATATGTGGTAGCGTGTGTGCACACTTTTATGGGTTGTCAACGTCCAGGGGAAAGTGTGACTATTAAATTGTCAAGTTGATGAGGATAACTAAATCAACGTAAAGTTTAGATATGCACTAAATAAAACTCATCAAGTTTAGGAGATTGACCTATTCGGCCTTTGAATAATAAGCTTAAGTCAACTAATATAAAAAGTGCAAATTTCATTTATCTATTCTTGTACTTCTTGGAGAAAAAATCCAAGTGACAAGGATTTCATTGACCACATTAATGTATGAGATTATTTTTACAATATTTACGTACATCAATTATTTGTAGTTCAACTACCTTTTATTTTTTTCTTTGTCTTTTGTTTAACTTTTTTATATCAAAAATACAAACTCATAACTGTAAAAGAGTTTAAATCTCCAATCCTTAGATGGTGACTATCTAAGGTTATTAAAAAAATTGTACAAAAATAATTATGAAAGGGGATATTATGTAAAAGGTTCTAAAATATGTTTATGTTATTGAGATTTTAAAAATATTGTGTTAAGTTATTTTATCTCAAGGGGATTCATAGTAAATATAGATATATTTCTTGTAGTCCGAGTTAAGAGTTTATTTTTTTTATTTTTTATTTTTTTATGGTATCAGAGCCAAAAAGTATCTTGAAATTTGAACTTTCAGGCCATTAGTGGAAAAATAACATTGAAAAAGGTTCGATGTTACTAAAAACTACACGCACTCGTGGAAAGCATAAATATTTTTGTGTTTGTTTTCAACACTACAACATTTTAGGCTTTTAGCCATCCTAGTAAAGTGTAGCCTAAACTAGCAAAAAGTGTGGTTTTTGATAAAAGGCTACACTTTTTGACTTTAACCAACGCTTTTCAGGGGGTGGCCAAAAGGAGTGTAACCTTTGACATTAGGCCACACTTTTTAAATGTCGCCACAATAGCTACACTTAAAAAGTGTGGCCAAAGAGATATAAGGGAACACTTTTTAGTAATTAATTAGCAACACCTTTTGTTTGATTATACTACATTTAAAAGTGTGACATTTGCTTTGTTATTGGGCACACTTAAAAAATGTTGCCTTTTATATCTCATCTAGAACTACACTTTTAAAGTGTAGCTTTTCTTATGTACAGTAAGCCATACATTGGACGTCCCTATAGCAACACTTGTGAAGTGTGGCAATAGTGTGCAGAATTTTTGTAGCCACAATTTTTTATTTTTAAGAATAATAATTTTTATTTGCGTATATTCAATAATAACATATAATAATTAAATATATAAGCGATCTAAAGCACAAAATTATCTAATAAATAAACCGAAGCTATATATTTCTAATAAACTTCGAGAAACATGTCTTGTACAACCAATACTTAGGCAAACATGTCTTGTACAACCAAACTTCGACAAACATGTCTCTACTATCAATAAATTCTGCAAACCCAAATGAATTCAAACATAACAAAAACTCTTCATCGTTCGCTACAGTAGATCTAGTTTACTTCATGCCACTATTCAAATTCAATCACCGGC